AAAAAAAAAAAAAAAAAAAAAATTATTTACTGCATACATAATAAACACTCGGCCAGGCGCAGTGGCTCATGCCTGTAATCCCAGCACTTTGGGAGGCCTAGGCAGGCAGATCACGAGATCAAGATGGGGACCATCCTCGCCAACACAGTAAAACCCTGTCTGTACTTAGAAAAAAGAGGCTGGGCGTGGTGGCTCACGCCTGTAATCCAAGCACTTGGGAGGCCAAGGCGGGCGGATCACCTGAGGTTGGGAGTTCAAGACCAGCCTGACCAACATGGTGAAACCCCATCTTAAAAAAAAGAAAAAGAAAAAAAATAGCCGGGCATGATGGCTCACACCTGTAATCCCAGCTACTGGGGAGACTGAGGCAGGATAATCACTTGAACCCAGGAGGTGGAGGTTGCAGTCAGTCGAGATCACGCTTCTGCGCTCCAGCCTGCTGACAGAGCGAGACTATTTAAAAAAACTAAAAAAAAAAAAGCTTAAATGCTATATTCGGTGCAAGAGTAGGGAAGACTGTGCCCATGTTACAGAACAACAAACTGAGGCACAGATAGGAAGTGACTTGGCCCAGGGCTGCACAGCTAGGAAGGGGTCAGGCACTCGGCCTCCAGGATAGGACCCCAGTCTCCTGCTGGCCTTTTGGGCCAGGCTGAGACCTAACCCGTTTCCTCCCTCCCCACTGCCCTTTCATTACCCAGATAATGAGCCTGGCCCACAGCCCCCAGGAGGACTGGCTGCTGCTGGGCATGGCCAACGGCCAGCAGTGGCTGCAGAGCACCAGTGACAGCCGGCGGCAGCTGGTGGGGCAGAAAGATGGCGTCATCCTGAGTGTCAAGTTCTCCCCCTTCGGTAAGTGGCCGGCGGAAGGTGGGGGGGACTCCCCCGCAGCCCCCAGCCTCCCACAGGACCCCATCCAATGCCAGCTCCCCACCCAGCCTTCCAAGGATACCTCAAAACCTTTCTGGAGGCTGGGTGTGGTGGCTCACACCTGTAATCCCAGCACTTTGGGAGGCTGAGGCGGGCAGATCACAAGGTCAGGAGTTCGAGACCAGCCTGACCAACATGGAGAAACCCTGTCTCTACCAAAAATACAAAAATTAGCCGGGTGTGGTGGCACGTGCCTGTAATCCCAGCTACTCGGGAGCTGAGATCACACCATTGCACTCCAGCCTGGGCAACACGAACGAAACTATCTCCCCCCGCCGCCCAAAAAAACCTACTCCAATACTGACACCAAGCTAGTATCCTGGTATCAGTATCCTGGTATCTCTGCAGCTGCTCGGGAGGCTGAGGCAGGGGAATTGTTTGAACCCGGGAGCTGGAGGTTGCAGTGAGCCGAGATCACGCCATTGCACTCCAGCCTGGGTGACAAGAACAAAGCTATGCCTCAACCCCTCCCCCCGTCCCCCCCACCCCCCGAACAATCAGACAACAACCATTCCCTAGCAGAAACCAGTTTTGAGGCTGTTCCTCCAGGGGGGTGAGGGAGGGAAGGGGGTGGGTGTCTGGGCCCTGCCCCTCCCCTGCCGGGTCCTCCCAGCACCTTGAGCCGCCCATGTCACCATGAGAGTATACCCTTGTTCCTCCCAGGCCAGTGGTGGGCCAGCGTGGGGATGGACGGCTTGCTCGGCGTCTACAGCATGCCAGTGGGGACAAACATATTCCAGGTACTGTGGGGTGGGCTGGGGGGCGGGACCTTGAGGTGGCCCCAAAACCATGTTTCCAGCCTGGGCAACACAGCAAGACCCTGTCTCTACCGA